CTATGGATTGCTTTGGTTATTCTGGGTCTCTAATTTTTCCAGAAGAATTTCATGATTGCTCTTTCTAGTTCTATGAGGTATGTCATTGGGGTTTTGATTGGAATTGCATTAAATCTGTATAGTGTTTTTGGTAGTATGGTCATTTTGACAATATTAATTCTGCCTATCCAACAACAAGGGAGACCTTTCCTTCTTCTAAGATCTTCTTCAATTTCTTTCTTTAGCATTCTGTAGTTTTCATTGTAGATGTCTTTCACCTCTTTTGTTAAGTTGATTAACAAGTATTTTATTATTCTGCAAATTATCCTCAAATATCTACTTATGGAATTTCATGGTCATTTATATGCATATTTATATACATATGCAGAACAGGGAAAAATCTGTACCACCTGACATGTACAGTTCCCAGATGAGGTCAAACTAGGTGGTGCTCTCCTTTTTCGTTTTAGCTCTTATACTGTAAACAAGAGTCTTTTTAATGGTCTATTTAGTGCCATGTTTTGCATTTTTATGCCATTTCTTGTCAGTTTCACCATTTAGAATGACCCTCAATCATAGTGCTGAGGTTCTATCTAGTGTTCATAAGCACAAAAAATCCACAGTGTGCCTTATGGAGAAAGTAAGCTTTGCTGAGGCATGAGTTATAGTGCTCTTGTTTGTAAGTTCAATGTTAATGAATCAACAGTATATATTAAGTAACGTGTCTGCAAACAGACACACACATAAAATAAAATTATGCATTGATGGTTGTCAAATGCGTTGTAACCAGATGCCCATAGAAACCTAACCTTGTACATGTACCAGGAGTGATGGTTCAGTATGTGTTAAATTCTTTGTTCTCAGAGACTTTATAGAATATAACTATTTCAAGTGATGAGAACTGGTTGTACCTTACCTTACTTAACTATCACAGAACAAGAATTATTATCCCCATTGGACAGATGAAGGGACTAAGGTTTACTGATTTATTCATGATCACAGAACCTAAGAAGAGCAGAAGAATGACCAGTATTCTTTAACTAGACTGAGGAGAAAGCAGAGATGGGGAGGAGGAAAAGAAAACCTAGAAAGGAGGCTTAAGAAAATCGTTTACATAACGACCAATAAAAAAAAAAAGAAAAAAAAAAAAAAAAGAAAATCGTTTACATATAAGGTTTAAAAAAAGTGAAACTGTGGTTAGACAACAAGATAAACTACTTTTAGGTTAAGTCTTCACAGAGTAAACACCTAGTACAGGCAGCCCAGTGTTATTCATTAAAACAGCGATAAGAGAGTACAGCTGAGTTTGGTTTTACTTTTCCCCCTTTGCTCCTTGCTGGTTGCTTCTTCAAAGGCAATAAATATTGGTTAAAGAACATTTGATTTTATTGATCTCAGAACTCCTGCTTGGTGTTTCATTAAAAAGAAGAAGGAGGAGGAGGAGGAGGAGGAGGAGGGGGAGGATAAAGGGGGAGGAGGAGGAAAGGCTTAAAACATTTTGATATGAAATGAGAGTTTAAAACATCTACAACATAATTTACTATGCATTTGAGAACCCATTACATTCCAGGGTGCTTAAAACCCTGCTAAAGATAGAAAATTCATCAAGAGCTTTATAAAAGACCTAATTGATACTGAGTGTCCAAGGTAAGAAAAATCTTTCCCCACAATTTTCTTTTTTTAAAAAACATATTCACTAGGTATTCCAAGTGTTCCTTGAGTTTTAAAATGCTATCTTCACTAATGCCAAATTATTTAAGGCTGTAAAACCTAAGTATATTCTTTAATGTCTATAAGACATAAGAATATAAATTTTGGATGTGTCCTATTTATTTTAAAAATATTTGATCAAATAAGAAAATTCAGGCTTTTAAAAATAACATCTAAAATGAATTGGAATTATAATGATTGTAGCTTTACACAAATAATGAACAAATTTTGAAAATTAGTAGTAGTTGGGGAGGAGGCTTAGCTCACTGCAGTGTTTCTGGGGGAGCCATTAAGACCCACTGTGTTGACACCTCAAAGCATCCACCGACTTCTTAATGTTCTAAGTAGAAATAATGCTCATGATGTGAAAACTACATTTAAGCATTACAAATGTTATGACAGAATTGAGAAAAATTGTAGAAGACCTATTTAAGAAGACCCTGCCTTGGAAGCTGCAAAACTGAGTTTTAAAACTGACAAATGACTTAAGAATTTTGAATGACTTCCATAAAATATTTCCTCAACTGGACTTAAATGAAGACTCTTTTCTGATCAATAAACAACAGGGAATTAAAATTCATCCTGCCCTATCTAAGCTGCAAACTTCAGTCCTCAATTGGCATCATCACAAATTATAAATTGTCCCTGTCTGAGAAACATTTGGTGATGTTGCTCACCTGCTTATCAGGCCGGTAAATAAATTCACCTGCATTTTCAATCATTGGTGATTATCTTTCTTTCAAATTCAACAAATCTAAAGTAGAAGTTACAACTATTGTTGGCCTTATTATGTTATGATTTTCATGTCTTTTTTAAAAATGCAGTTTATCACTGACTACATTTACTCTTTTCCAACACAAAATACTCATTCTTACATTTCTATTAGGCCATCATTTGAAACTATCAAGGAAAAGAAGAAAGCTATAGCAAAGTTATAGGAAATTTTATTCCCAAATCCTTAAGGTGAGAGAGAGAAAACTGAAACAAGAGAAGTCTTACAAATTTTTGGAGACTATTTTAATCTCCCTAAGTGTTTAAAATAAATAATAATATCACACAGAAAGGAACAATGACAACATTAAGTTATAATGAAAAAATATAAAATGTATAAATTCATCATTAGAGTGATATTACATTGTTAAAGTTCTTTCTCTGAGATTAGTAGTACCTGGAGCATGCTTAGCTAAATGTGGTTGTACAGGGGGCCACTAAGACCCACTCAAAGCATATTCTCTTTCCCCTCATTTAAATAGAAGGAACTAGAATTTCTCATTAGTTTTCTGTATTAATACTATTGCTAGTTCTTCCTATCTTTAAAGCTGCATTTCTTATTGACTTCTGTATATAATGTGCTGAGCAAATGTCATCTCTCCACCAGCTCAAAATCTCTGGCTTAATCAACTGTCTTCACCCAGATTTCCAAAATATTCACTTCTAATGTAGCTTTAATGTAGTTAATTACATATATGTCTACCATTTCAATAGGAATCTGTGTTGTCTGAAAGTCAAGGCTCTTTATGATTTAATTTTTGAATAGCTCATAACATCTGATATCATCTCTAGTAAGAATAACCTTGATCATCCCCAAATCAGTTTCCACCATATGAATGTTTGGTAAGGTATAATATGCTGGTGGAATGCATTGCCCTTAAGTCCTAGCATCTGTTGATGGTGTCCTACTTGAATTTCATACTTATATCTGTATGTTTCTATAAGTCAGAAATTCAAAAGTCTCACATTTATAAACAACTTATCAATAGTTTGTTAAGTAAATAAATCAGCATTTAATAAATAGCATGAGCCCATCAAACTTCTCATTCATGTAAAAGATTATATTTTCTGACAGAAATAAAAAWAATCATAATAAATAAATCTGATATTTTTATTTCCTAGACAATATTAATATTATTCAGGACATGCAGAAAGCACTTGAATGAGTTAATAAGGAAATTAACAAATAATTGGACAATTCTTAGGCCTCATATATATTGCTTTTCTTTAATGAAGTGATTCATCATAGTATGTCATAATTTCTGCCTACTTTGATTTAAGATCACTTTAAGCATCTATGTATCTACTTAAGCATTAATCAAAGAAAAAAAGAGGGTTGATCAAAAAAATTATTAGAAAACCATAAATTTATGATGTGACACTGGGGACAAACAGCTTTACTTTTTGATAGTTCTGGGTTCAAATCTTGAATCAGTGACTTATTGGTTGATGATTTTGGCAAAAGTAACTAATCTCCCTAAATGTTTAAAATAAAGATTTATCAACATACTACATCAATGTTTATAGCAGCTTAATTCACAATAGCTAAACTATGGAACCAACCTAGCTGCCCTTCAGCAGATGAATGAATAAAGAGACTGCAGGCTGGCTCAGTGGCACAACCCTGTAATCTCAGTGGCTTGGGGGGCTGAGCCAGGAAGATCACAAATTCAAAGCTAGCCTCAGCAAAAGTGAGGTGCTAAGCCACTCAGCGAGACCCTATCTTTAAATAAAATACAAAATGGGGCTGGGGATGTGACTTAGTAGCCAATTGTCCCTGAGTTCAATCCCCAGTAGCAAAAATACAACAACAAAAAAGAAATCATGGTATGTATATGCAATGGAATATTACTCAGCCTTAAAGAAGAATGAAATCATGGCATTTGCCAGTAATAGATGGAACTGGAGAATATCATGCTAAACGAAATAAGTCAATCCTAAAGAACCAAAGGTTGAATATTTTCTCTGATGTGTGGATGCTAATTCATAATAAGGGAAGTGGGTAGGGAAGAATAGAGGTATTTTGGATTAGACAGAGGGGAGCGGAAACAGTTTTTATTATCTGTTCATTTTTAAAAGTGCATGGGATAAATAGGTCAAAGAAATGTACAAGCAAATATTCTCTTTCCACACATGTGTTCCCATATGTATATTTATGTGTGTGTGTGTGTTTTCTATTCACTAAAACCCATGTTGTTCTGCTTCAATAAAGCCAACACACTATCAGTTCAATGACATCTATCAGTGCCAGCTAACTGCCATCAAGTGGGATGGGTTCTGGGAGTTTTGCATGGAATGACATGGCCCTGCTCTCAAGGACCTAAGAGCCTAATAAAGGAGATACAGGTCCTTATAACTCAGGAATCCACAGCAGTCAACTTACCAAGGAACATGAATTTCATATATAATTAAAAGGTTTGCTTCTAATTCTAGGAAATGAGTCACCTTATGATTAGAGGGTAGTGACATTAAATATATCAATTAAAATTATTTTATTATAGTGTACACATTACCATTTTCCTCAGCACGGCTTAACTTACCTTGATCTTTGGGTGGTACTGATAGAGGATTCTGCATTATGGTGAATTTGACTTGAATGGGAACTTTCCTAAATATAACCGAGCACAAATAATAATTAGAAAATAATTGAGATGTCATGTTAAATATATGCTAAAATTTAAATTATAATGTTTTTATAAGTAATTCTATTTATAATTACATGACTAATAAGAAATGAACTGAACTAGTAAGAATTGATGTTTTTAGTCCTCTTCTTACTTTTCTACAAACAAGATTTCACTGAATGTACCAGACTGGACTTGGAGAGGAATGCAATAACACATTGAGACAGAGGCCCTACCCGAATCCCTACTCTTATCAATCCATGTGTGTATAAATTAAGATTCCCTGAAAATACCCTCTGGATAATTATGTTTCATATATTCTTTTTAGGAAGAAATAACTAAAATGCTTAACAATATAGATAAAGGTAATGTAATTGCAATATATTCATTTAATAAACTATAATCTAGTCATTAAAAACATGATTATAAAGATTACATAGTAGCATAGAAAATGTCGATATAGTACATTGATGAAACATATTTAATGACACACAGAACATTATAACTATAGGAAAAAACAAAGGAATTTTCCACATGGTAGAAAATATGTTTGAAAGTAAAACACAAAAACCAGTGACTACATTAAGTATTGACAAGAAAGTAGAAGAAATGGAAATCTCATATGCTGCTAGTAATAATGTAAAATGGTAATTACTTTAAAAAATAGTTTGGTAATTTTTCCAAAAGCCACAGATACATCTACCATGGGATCCAGCTAATCCCTTCCTACTTACCCAAAGAAAAGAAAGCATATACCCACACAGAGACTTGTACAGAGAACGCTCACAACAGCTTTATTTATAGTAGCCCCCAATCAGAAACAACCCAAATTTCACCAACAGGTGGAAAGTGTGAACAGACAAAGAAACACTGCTAAACAATTTAAAGAAACAGACTATTAATCCACATTACAATGGAATGAATCTGCAAAAGCACTATTATCTGAAAGAAGCTAGACCAAAAAAAGCATATATCGTACAATGCTATTAATATATAAGATTTCAGAAAATACAAACTATAGAAATAGACTGATAGTTGTCTGGAGTCAGACGACAAAGAATGGAAAGAAAAGTCAAGTGGGCACAAGAAATATCCCTTGAGGCAAAAGATGGATTCATTATCTCGATTGTGGTTATAAACTGTCAAAAAGTAAATAAAATAAATAAAGCAGGGCATATATTTATAAAGAAGTTATTTAAAAATGTTTCTTAAAATTTTTAAGTGTGAAAAATGCTAATGATGTGTTCTTATATCAAAACATTGGTTATTAAGTGGTATGGGTCATTTTTTCCATATATTCATGAGAACAACTAGCAAATATTAAAAGTGGTTATCTCTGAGTCAGGCATTAAATTATTATTTAATTTCCATTTTATGCTTATTGGAATATTACAAAATTTCCCCAATGAATAAATACTGCTTTTCCAATCAGAAAAAAATTAAATTATTTTGAAACACTATCATGAATTAAAAAAGGAATGTAATCATAATTATTTTTATTTTATAAACTGATATATAACTTAAAATTATACATACTAATGGGGTCCCATGTGGTGTTTCAATATATGTATGCATTCTGTAATGCTTAAATTAGGTTAAACACATTTATCTCCTCGATCATCTATCTTTTTTCATGGAGAAAACATTTAATATGTTTTCTTCTAGCTTTTTGAGATATACAGTATATAACTGTTACCTACAGTCACCCTACCAGGCAATAGCTTCTTATTCCTATCCAGCTGTAACTCAGTACTCACTGATCATCACTTCCTTATTCCTCCCTCTTCCCTATGCTCCATTCTTTAGTAACCACCATTGCACTTCTCAACCTCTATGAAATTAACTTTTTTCTATTCGACATATGAGTGAGATCATTAGGTATTTGTCGTTCTGTGCCTGGCTTATTTCACTGAACATAAGGATCTTCATTCCTATGCAAGTTGTCACAAATAATAGGATTTCATTTTTTTTCTGGCTAAATAGTATTTCATCATGTGTACAGGACACCTTTTCTTTAGTCCTTCATTAGTTGAAAGACACTTCCATTGATTCAGTATCTTGGCTACTGTCAACAGTGCTGAAGTACTGCATGTGAATGCAAATCTCTGTTCAACATACTGACTTCGTTTCATTTGGATAATATGTAAAGCAGCAGGATTGTTGGATTATAAGGTAAGTTCTATTTATAACTTCTTGAGGAACCTTCATACTGATTTCCATAATAACTCTACTAATTTAAATTACCACCAGTCATGTGCAAGGATTCCCTAGATAAAGCTGTTTTTACTGGGGGAGATGATATCTTAAAGTGGTTTTGATTTGCCATTTCCCTGATGATTAGTGATATTGAGCATTTTTTTCATATACTTGATTGTCATTTGTATGTCTTCTTTTGAGATGTATCTATTTAAGTACCCTGCCCATTTTTAAATTGGGTTATTTATTGATTTTTCTTTTGGATATCAACCCCTTATCAGATGTACAGTTTGCAAATATTTTTTCCTATTCTGCAGGTTGTATCTTTATTCTGATTGTTTCCTTTGCTGTGCAGAAGCTTTTTAGTGTGATCATTTGTCTGTTTTTGCTTTTGTTTCCTGTGGCTTTTGGGCTCTTGACCCCAAACTCCTTTTTTAATGTCCTGAAGCCTCTTCTCCCCTGTGTCTTCTTCTTCTAGTTTCATTGTTTTACATCTTACTTAAATTTGCAATCCATTTTGAGTTGATTTTTGTAACTGGTAAGAGGTAAGGGTCTGGTTTATTTTCGTGAATATGGACAACTTATCCTTAGCACTGTTTATTGAAGTCTTTCCATTCTCCAGTGTTGTTAGCACCCTATTAAAAATCAGTTGGCTATACATGCTTGGGGTTATTTCCAGGCACTCAATTCTGTTCCATTTGTCTCTGTGTTTGTTTTAATGCCAATATAATGCTGTTTTGGTTACTACAGTGTTGTAGAGTATTTTGGAATCAGGTAATATAATAAAATATCTTCATCTTTGTTCTTTTTGCTCAATGGTGCTTTGGCTATTTGGGGTATCAAAATAATTTTAACTGTATGTCCAATATCATGGTATCCAAGGTAGAAAACTCACTCAAAAGTCATACTGTGTTTTGGTTTTCCACATTTTTATTGGTGTATTATAATTATATATAATGATGGAATCTATTGTTACATATTTGTACATATATATTAACAATATAATTTGGCCAGTTCATTTCCCCATATTTCCCCTTTCCTTTCCCTCCTCCTCTCTAACTCCCTTTCTTCTCTATTATCTCTCTTAGATTTTCATGACATACTCCCACACACTACCCGCTCCCCTTTTCTTTTCTAGCTTCCACATACATATGTGAAAAAACATACGAACTTTGACTTTTTGATTTTGGCTTATTTCATTTAATGTGATGTTGATGCTCTCAAATTCTATTCATTTTCCTACAAATGACATAAACTCATTCTTCTTTATGGCTGAATATAATTCCATTGCATATATGTGCCACATTTTCTTTACAATTCATTCACAGACAGACACCTAGGCTGGTTCCATAGTTTGGCTATGATGAATTATGCACTATAAACATAGGTATTCATGTACCACTATAGGAGCCATGCTATCTTTTGCTGTCAAGTATAGCACTGCTATAGTTTCATCCTATTGTAATTATGAAAAATAAAAACATTTGTAATTAATACACCTAACACCAACTAAAACATCTTGCATAATCACAATATTGCATTTTCTGACTAGCGTGGATGATAGTTCGTTATATAAATATGTTAGAGGAAAAGATGTATTAAATAGTCACATAAAATCTAACAGTATTTTTCCAACTTCACACAAGAAAAGTCAATGTGCATTTTTACAAAAGGCACCATGGTACAGTAGTAGCAGTCACTGTGTCCTTCACAGTATATAACAATATGTAAAATTACAACCTGACTTTTCTTTCTTGAATTGTTAAAAAGTATATTAAGCAGAAAAATCTATCAAAAAAGGGAAAAAAATTAAAGAATGCACATAGTGAATACCATCAATTATGGCAAGATTTAATATAATGAGCTTTATAAATCACTCATATGATTACTTTTAATTTTAATTAATATATTTAAACAGAGTTGATTAAAAATGAAAATTAGGTGAATTGGTTACTTGGGAAAGTGACAGCTTGATGGTGCTAGAAATGGAAATTTTCCATTTACTTCTTGTTCAGGAAGCCTAAGGCAGACATTGCCTTGTCTTTGTTATGCTGCCTTGCCAAGACTCCTAAAAATAAATTTAGATAAAGACCTTAGAGAATAAAAGATAATCATTTGTTCCATGCTCAATAAGCTTATTAACATTAGCCCATGTTGTGAGTCAGTGTGATAAGTGCATGCTCTTGTATATGTGGGTACCAATCACAAAATTACAATGTAGATGTCAGTCTAGATGATTTTTCCAGGAAGCGATTTCCAAGGGAATAAACATGTCATACATCACCAGACAGACATACTGTTATTCAGATAACTGTAATAATGTAATAAATTTGGCCAGGAGAACTTGAAATGTGAAAATAGAGAAATGGAAATATATGAAAACAGTAATGAGTCTTTTGGTGTCTTCAACAGGTTCTGCTTTATTCACTGAGATACTACTATTAACCTGCCACATTTGGGTAGCTGTTCATTTGACAGGCCGTTTTCCACTTTTGATCCTACTATAATCTTGTGCCTCTGGATTCTAAAGCATAGCATGGTAATAGTACTACAAGATTTTAGGTTTGAAGTTAGAATTAGAGTCAGCAAGCCCATGGATGTCTATTCTATACTACAGCTCTTTTATAAAATGGGCTTAGTTTACTAATAGCATCCTACCTTATGACTGTAATGTAATTTATTTATCCATTTATCCACTGATAGGCATTTGAATTGTTGCCAATTTTTGGTTATCATAAATAAATCTAAATACTTGTGCCCACTTTTTATGTTTTCATATCTCTTGGGT